AAAAAAAAAAAAAAAAAAAAAAAAAAAAAAAAAAAAAATCCAGCTCTCCACCTCGTTGTATCTCTCTCTCTCGTAGTTCTTTTGTTATTCTTTGAAATATTCCAGAAATGTCAGAAGAAAATACAGCTGGCCATTCCATACTAATTCTAGCAATTATCAGGAAATAGCAACTATTATTTGGGGGAGCTTGAAATGTATGGTAACTTGATGTTCATGGGAGGTGAAGCTAACACTCTTTCCATGTTTATGTTTGATTCAGAGGGATTGTGATATGTGAAATTAACATTGCTCATTAACAAAATGCATATTTGCGTTAAGTTTCAGGAAGAAAAATAGTTTATGAAATAGAGAATCTGTGTACTTAGGGAACAATTTGCCATAGACCACAAGGTGGAGGTTGAGGGTTTCTGGATTATATTTTCACAAAGTGACTATCCACAGGTCCAGAACTCACAGGGAATGGTACACAGGACTTAATAGAACTATGCAATGGATATGCAAGGTAGATGGTAACTTGATGGAAGGTGATCCTGAGCAACATTATTTCAGCAAGACACAGCTCAGTGGCAGTGAAAGGAGTTGAGAGAAAGAGAGTACAAATTAGGAAAGCTGGTAGCAATGGAACATCCCAGCGTTTTGTGCAGTCATGGTTCAAAGCCCCAATAATATGTTGCTCACTGTACCTAGGCGAAAGAAACATTTGGAACAGAGAACAGCTGCAAATCATGGTCTGTGATGGAATGAAAGCTACATATACAAATACATTTGAACTTGCAGCTTAAAATTTAGATGTTAGGTATTAAATTGAAGAAGGAACAGATTTCTAGGATGGTTATCTCTAATATTTCATGTGGCCCTCAGTGAGCAGTATAAAGTGAAAAGTGTTCAGAAGGTCAACATCTGAGCTTTCTAAGATTTTTATTGCTCTTGCCTGGATTGTGCTTTGAATAGCTATTTATACCTAAAGACAATCTGGAAAAATCAGGAAGCTCTCAGAAATTCTCTGGATTGAGAACAGTTTTTAGCCAGGTGGTTCCCTTGGAAATAAAGTCAACAGTTTGTTGTGTTTTATGAGTAATCTGCCACTTCTTTTTACTGGAAATCAAGTGACTTTGGAGGAGTGGTTAACGAAAGCTTTCTGGATGGTGTTTGAGTTAGGTATGTCTCCAACAAACAGAGAGTTTTCTCCTTGACTCCCATTTAGTGGAAGGGAATTTATGTGTAGAACTAGAAGAAATGGGTGAGGTTTAAATGAGTATTTTGTGTCAGTATTCACTGTTGAGAAGGACTTGGTGGACAATGAGTCTGGGGAAGAGTGTGTAGATAGTTTGGGTCATGTTGAGATCAAAAGGGAGGAGGTATTTGGGGTCTTGAAAAGCATTAAGGTAGACAAGTCCCTAGGGCCTGATGGGATATACCTCAGAATACTGAGAGAGGCAAGGGAGGAAATTGCTGGGGCCTTGAGAGAAATCTTTGTATCCTCACTGGCTACAGGGGAGGTCCCAGAGGTTTGGAGAATAACCAATGTTGTTTTTTTGTTTAAGAAGGGTGGCAGGGTTAATCCAACTAACTATAGGCTGATGAGCCTTACGTTAGTTGTAGGGAAATTATTGGAGAGGATTCTTTGAGACAGGATTTACTCCCACTTGGAAATAAGTGGACATATTAGCGAGAGGCAACATGGTTTTGTGAAGGGGAAGTCATGTTTCACTAATTTGATGGAGTTTTTTGAGGGAGTGACGAAGATGATCGATGAGGGTAGGGCAGTGGATGTTGTCTACATGGACTTCAGTAAGGCCTTTGACAATGTCCCTCATGGCAGACTGATACAGAAGCTAAAGTCACACGTCGTCAGAGGTGAGCTTGCAAGATGGATAAAAAAACTGGCTCGGTCATCGAAGACAGAGGGTAGTAGTTGGAAGGCTGCGTTTCTGAATGGAGGGATGTGACTAGTGGCATTCCTCAGGAATCACTGTTGGGACCTTAGCTATTTGTAATATACTTTTCCCAGATGACATGTGAGATTCAAACCCATGTCCCCAGAGGAATAGCCTGAGCCTCTGGATTACCAGTGCAATGACATTACCAGTATCCCACTGCCTTCCTGGTTTCCCCTTTACAAACCAAGCTGATATCTGCAGGCACGTTGTGATTCTCTGAGTGCTCTACAACAACCTCCTGAACAACGTATTCCGGTATTTCTCTGCTGATAGATGTTCGGCTAACCGGCCTGTGATTTCCTGCTTTCTTTGTCCCTCCTTTGGTGAGCAGAGGATTACAATCATTATTTTACAGAATCTAAGTAATTTTGGAAAATGAAAACCAATGCAACTAAAATCTCAAAAATACTTATTTTAAGACTCTACATTGAAGACTGTAAGGATTTAGCAACTTGTCAGCATTTAGCTCAAATAACCTTCTCAGTAGCCTTTTCTTGATGAATGTAATCTTCTATGCTCCTCCCTACCTTTCACCTCTTAACTTACAATTATTTCTGTGTAGGATGTACAGTGAAGGCAGACAGAAATCCACCTGCCAGTTTCTTGCTTCGTACAACTTTCTCTCTAAAAGACCAACACTCACTTTATGAAAGCTTTTTTTTCTGGTTATTACTGGTGCTTCATTTGAGTCAACCTAGGAATTGTCCAGAATGATCTATGTAAAGCGTTGGATGTGTATTTGGTAAGGAAAGGACTGAGATGACAGGCAGTTGGGACTTATTTACCTTTGGAAGTAGAAATAAACTTTGAACAGCCTTTAGTTTAGAGGTAAACTATATTCAATACCATACATAAGTGTATTCTGCTATACATATTTGAAAAAGAGCTGATGTAATGGTATTTGTCTTTTTAAAACATGATATTTAGACAGAGAGAACAAAATTATAGGATAGGGAGCATGCTACTGAAAAAAAAGGTTTGGCATTGTTGAATAAAGAAAAATCACTTTGAAATTGCACCTTTATTTACAAGCAATATTGTGTAGGTAACATTTGGAAATCAGGCAGTGTTAAAATAGTAGCTGGTCCCACACTTGGTAACATATATTAGAGCTACAAAAGTTCGACCCAGTCTCAAAGTACTTCGTGCTCTCTCATTATCACGTTATTTCAGAAGTTCACTTGTCTCTAGAAAAGGCAATCTTTTCAAAATTATTATTTATTAAAAGATTTTTATTGCATTTTTAGCCAGGCTTTTCATACTTGCTAAAAAGTTTAAGTAATTCTTGAGCACATCAGGTTAAATCAATGAGTTACGACTCCGAAAACGAAACAAAAATACTCGTCTCAAAATGTACCGTGGTTTATGCAGCAATAATTATTTACCATTCCTAACTTAAGTCCCGCCCCATCTCAAAAGAACTTCCCCATCACGAACAATGTCTTCACCAGGACTAGTGTAATAGTTAATGTAATGTCTCTAATGTAAGTCACAACTGTGTAATAATGGTTCTGCAAACGAAAGAAGCCTAGGCTCCTCCGTCAAAACTGCACAGGGCGGTACACAATCTCAGGGAGTCAAGGCCAGTTTCACAACCACGTGGATTGCGGAAGTTATTGTGATTCAGCCAGAGGGAAAGGTTGAACCTGAAAAACAGCCAGATAATAACAAAAGCAGAGACAATAATGAATCGTATCAAGGATTTGACTGCTGAGAAACAGGCGTGGCTTTTGAATGCTGTGAAATCACGGAAGCTCACGCTTGGCCAGGGCAACGACGAAATGAATAAAACTCTCATCAGGATGGACGGGTCGATTGGAAACTGCAGCTCCATGCACCAGGTGAGAGCCCAAATGCGGTACCGTTCCGGACAGAAAGACTCCCATCTGTGGAACAGAACTCATGTCTTCTTCATGACAAGTTGCATTTGGTTAGCGTTTGTAAAATAAGAACTAGGTCTGGGTTTACTTTAATGATCCTGATCCCCGATCTGCCAATTGTTTATCTCCAGTTCACTTGGTAACTTGATACTTCATCCAGAAGTTATTTAGTCCGCCTCCTTGGTGCAATTGAAGGACGTGGCGTTTTGGAACATAAATTGCAACAATATTTGTCGAAAGGCACACACTAGTTGTGAATTTTCGTGTTGTTTATTACAGTGCCTGTGAAATGTTGAACCTGTCATATATCAAATTAAGCTAAGTTTGTAGGGTGGTTGTTTTGAGGGATAAACTTTTATTTTTCAGAGTGTGGGGAAACTCCCATGCAAAAGGAGAAGACGTGGATTTGGCCTGCCGGTGGTTTCCTATACATCCCGATTTTGACTTGACATTTACCAGATCAAAACACACCTTTCATCATAAGGCTGACCACATCCACAAAAAAAATCGACTCCAACGTTCTCCTCCTTACCAACCCTACTGCTGTCATCTGTATCCTCTCTCCACCTCAGTTTTGCTATTCATTCTGGTCTTTCCCAGTTAGATTGAACTTCACCTTAAATAATCGAGCCCTTTACACATACCTCTGTTGTTGCCACCTTCTTACAATGACATGCTCAACCTCTGCACCTAGGCTATATTTGATCATTATTACAGAGTTTATCAATCTGTGGAGGTGAGGAGGAGTTTCTACCCCCAGAGGGTGGTGTGTCTTTGTCTTCTCAGAGCTGTGAATGCTTTGTCATTTTATATGGATTACTAGCCTTTCAAGATATCAAGGGACGTACGGATAATGGAGGAAATTAGCATTGAGATAGAAGATCGGCTGTAGTTGAATGACAGAGCAAGCTCAGTGGGCCAAGTGGCCTATTCCTGTTCCTGTGTGAAATAACTTCATAGAGACTGTTATGCCATCACCAAATCACCCTTTATTTACATGTGGAGAGTCCTAACACTGATCCAGCTCCCTCAGAGGTAGCTGTCAGAGTGAACAGAACCTCTGACACTCCTGTTTATATCTGTCAGCCAGGGATCCCTGATTGGACCAAATTAACAGTCCTAATGAGCAAACTCATATTCTATGGTTCTCATGTAACTGACCTCATTACAATCAATACACTGTGATCCTTACTTTCTTGTATGCCGAAATCCAACAGAGTTCCAGCATCTGTTCTATCTAAAATTTAACTATACGTGTAGTATATAAACTGCACTTTTCACATCCAATACTTCAAAGTGATTTCATAGCCTGTCAAATGTATTTCAGAAGGAACATATACTTACTGGGGAATGAGCCACCTTGATAAATCAATTTATTCTTCACCTCCTCTGCAGCAGTGACTTCCATCTTTATTCTCTGTCTACTTCGCATGCTACAGGTTCTGGTTTTATGAAAGTTGACATTGAGCTCCTGACTTCTTCCTTCAGCACTCTGCTATCTAGGGGATCATGAAGGGTGGCAGTTGTGTATCCAGACAAAGTGATGACATCATCTGGATATTCAGTGTGTTTTTCTCCCCAGTTCTTCTTTCTTACACGTTTTCTGCCCGAAAGTGCTAACATCTGCTTGGATATAGCTCAAGATTGCAGGAAAATTTGACATTGCATTGGTTTCCCACGACACCACTCTTACATAGCACAATAGCTTTTCCATTTTTGAACCTCTGGAAATGCAATAATTTTTTTATTTTACGATGTACCAATAAGAATGTGCTGATAGTTGAGAAAATAGATTAAAAAAAAACAGATTTGGAGATAGCTCCATCCAAATTTGGTGTAAAATCAATGGCTGGAAATGTATTTTTAAGAAAATGTAATTGAATGGGATATGAGTGTCATATGAGTGGCAAAGCCAGCATTTGGTACACATCCCTAATTGTCCTCGTGAAAGTTGGTACTGAGCAGTTCAAGGGACTGAATGGGACAACACCCTTACATCAGGAGTTATTTGCTAAGTAATGCCTAGAGATCGCTGATTATTGATCACTTTAACTGGATGGAAATTACAATTTAACTGATGTGTAATTTCGTTTTGAGAAATGTGCTGTCGTAGTTAGACTATCTGATAAAAATCCTGAAAGCCTTGACATTTGTGCTTTCATGCTATGACAAGTGACTATCCCAACATGAATCAACCAAGTGAATAAGTGTAATGGAACATAAAAATATATGTCAAGCAGATTTGTTTAAAAAATATTTCCCAGCATTGCAACTTAAATTATGTGGAAGAGATACAATAAGTTCTAAGGATATGTTGTTTTTATTTAAAGCCAATATTCTTGTTTTGCAATTTGTAGTCGGTTTATCTTTTCACACATTGTAGTGCAAACTTTAGTATTTTAACAATTCAGTTATGATATCTCCAAAGTTTCAAATTAGTGGGAGTTGTTGTTGAGTAAGTGTCTTGCTCATGCTGTCAACAGTTGCTTAGGTTCTGAGTTTTGAAGTGCATGAGAGAGAGCATATGATGTCAATGTTCATAAAAGATGTCAGAATTGGGAAAAGGCAGACTTTGCTCGTCTTTGGCCTATTAACAAGAAGAGGTCATTAGACACATTCCTATTCATTCATAAGTTACTGAAAGCTAAAATGTAGGTGCAGCAAGCAGTTAGAAAAAAACAAATGGTTCGTTGGCTTTTATCGCAAGAACATTTGAGTATAGGAGTAAAGATGTCTCATGTCAGTAGCTTTGGGTGAGACTGCATCTAGAGTATTGATACAGTTTTGTTCCACTTAGCAAAGGAAGGATATACTTAGCATCAAGGGTGGGCTGCAGACATTCACCAAACTGATTGCTGGGATGGCAGAATTGTTCTGAGAGGAGATATTGAAGACAGTAGGCCTGATTTTTCTATAGTTTGGAATAAAGACAGGAGATCTTATTGAAAATTCTTTCAGAGCTAGATACGATAAATGCCGAAGGATGTTTCCACTGGCTGAGGGGGCCTATGAATCATAGAGTAGTGACCCTTTGGAATTCTTTACCCCCAGAGGGTAAAGCTCAGATTCAAAGCTCAGAAATCAATAGATTTCTGGACACTAATGGGCTAAAATTGACCTGAAATTCGCTTATAGTCAATTTTGCTCAGTTTCATGGAAATTTCCTCTTTTTAAACTAACAAGAGATTTCTCACACTATTCACAGAAACCTACTTCATTACCTGTATGGTGACCCAGCTTGTCCTATCTTTCCACTTGGGGAAGTACGAGGCACAGTTGGGATCTCCCATGATTCCCAGTGCTGGCACCATTTTACAAGCCCAGCTGTGCACAAACTAAAATGTTACTTGCCAGGAGTTGTCCTTCTCCACGCACGTAGTGGAAGAGGAATAAAAATACAGTTGTTTCTTTGGGCACAAAAGTGGCACGGTTGGCCCTTCATTGCAAATACAAGTGCACAGTGATAAGTGCATTACTATTTAGAAGTTTAGCTACACAACTTACCCATCCTTGATGTCATCCCATCTTAATATCCAAAATGGAGGCCTGAGTAAGTGGCAAGCTGAAATCAGCAGATACCCGCTCTGACTTTTATTGCCACTGTCTAGTTTCTATACAGTGGGTGGGAGAATGGGAAATTCAATATAAATGAGGGGAGATTGAGTAATAATGGCATGCAAATGGATGCAAAGATGTCTTTCATTGCTCATTAGTGAGATTCCCATCTCGTTATTCAGAACTTGTATGGAGTATTGGACTTTTCTTTAACTCCATATGGAGAATCCAATTTCTGCCAATCTCATGCTATTTTCCCAACTGACATGCCAATGCTCATATGGTTCAGGTGCTGGGAAGATTTTGGTCCAATATCATCAAGGGATATGGGAAAGTGAAGGAAAATGGCTTCGAGTCATTTGAGCCATGATCTAGAATAGTCGAGCACGCTCCAGAAGTTGAATGGTCTAATCCTAATTTCCTATGATCGTCTAAGTCGTAGAGACATACAGCATGGAAACAGATCCTTCGGTTGAACTTGTCTGTGCCCACCAGACATCCCAATCTGACCTCATCCCATTTGCCAGCGTCTGGCCCATATCTCTCTAAACCCTTCCTATTTATATACCCATTCAGATGCCTCTTAAATGTTGTAATTGTACCAGCCTCCACCACTTCCTCTAGCAGCTCATTCCATACACGCACCACCCTGTGCATGAAAAAGTTGCCCCTCAGGTTCTTTTTAAATCTTTCCCCTCTCATCTTAAACCTATGCCTTCTAGTTTTGGACTCCCCCACCCTAGGAAAAAGATCTTGAGTATTCACATTATCCATGATCCTCATGATTTTATAAACTCCTATATGGTCACCCCTCAGTCTGCAACACTCCAAAGGAAAAAGACCCAGCCTATTCAGCCTCTTCCTATAACTCAAACTGTCCAGTCCTGGCAACATGCTTGTAAATCTTTTCTTCATCCTCTCAAGTTTAACAACGTCCTTCCCATAGAAGAGCAACCAGAATTGTTTGCAGTATTCCAAAGTATTCTTATGTAGTATTCTTAAGTGTCTATTCCTGACATATGCCTTCTTCTTTTTCTTGACCAGACCCTCATTTTGTCTAGTCATCCATTATTCCCTACACCAATCAGCCTTGCCCTTCACACTAACAGGAACATACTGTCTCTGAACTCTGTTTATCTCATTTTTAAACGCCTCCACTTCGAAATCATCCCATTACCTGTGAATGGCCTCCCCCAATCAACTTTTGAAAGTTCTTGCCTAATACTACCAAAACTGGCCTTATTCCAATTTAGAACTTCAATTTTTTTTTGTCTGTTCTATCCTTTTCCACAAGTATTTTAAAATTAACAGGAGTTATGATCACTGGCCCCAAAATGTTCCCCCACTGACACCTCAGTCACTTGCCCTGCCTTATCTACCAAGAGAAAGTTGAGTATTGCTCCTTC